ACCATATGTAAAGGTGAACCAATATTGTCGATGCCTTTTAACGCACACTACACGCCACCGTCAACACTGCACATTTTCAAAGAAGATGCCGCTGTTCCTCGCACAGGCCGCCATGTGTGTTCACTTCTCGTAGATAAACAGCCAGCCGGCCAGCGTGGCGAACAGTTCATCACGTACTTTATCACACACCTAGATGTTCTCTGACACATGCCACAGCTAATGTTGCCACTGTGAGATGAAGATTGATTGATTTGTGGGGTTTAACGTCCCAAAACCACCATATGATTATGAGAGACGCCGTAGAGGAGGGCTCCGGAGATTTTGACCACCTGGGGTTCTTTAACGTGCACCCAAATTTGAGTACACGGGCCTACAACATTTCCGCCTCCATCGGAAATGCAGCCGCCACAACCGTGATTTGAACCCGCGACCTGCGGGTCAGCAGCCGAGTACCTTAGCCACTAGACCACCATGGCGGGGCTGTGAGATGAAGATTACGCTTTCAAAAAGGAGAAAAAAATTGCCCCAAGCACCGAGCGACAGCACCCACACAGGCACCGGCGGGAGTGTTTTGCCAACCACCTCCTTGCACGTGCACCAGTGACGTCACGCTGTGACGTACCCCGGTAGAGGTCTATTGTCGTCATCATCTCCGTCCGCCGAATCGGGGGGAGGGGGGGGGTAGTGGTTAGAAGAAGGCGCCTAATTTCTGCAGCCCAGCAGGGAGCGTAGGGCGCAGTGAATAAGGATAAAAGAACGAGAGAAGGAGAAAGCGAGAAAAATTCAAATACTGGCTTTTTTTCAACCCAGGAAAGAGAGAGAATGCACGTTCAGTTCGCCACACGGTAAGAGAGAAACACAACGTCGGTCACAGTGCAATAATACGCACAACACAGCACAGTGCAATAACATTGTATCGCACGTGCAGAATAGGGTCTGCAGTGCTAGGCAGGCTAGGGTTTGAGAGAATGGAAGACTTGCAAGCACCACAGAGTGTGGGAAATATACCTGACGACGGATCCCAAGCGCGTCTCGTGGCACGTCGAACAAATCAAGCAGCCTCGATTTCAAACAGCTCTTCCTAGGCCGTGGTCAGTCAGACGTGTCCAAAGAGTTTTTGACGAGGGGAGCCAACAGCCCTAAATAATTCGAAGTATGACTTTCGTGTTGTCCCCACTTTTGGCGCACCTCGAGAGCGTTGACCCAGAACAAATCAGGGTAGGCTTAGCTGCAATCGTCCCCCGCATCCAAGCGGCGCCCAGCTAGGGAGGCCGATCTTAACATCTTCTACAGACACACGCACATAAGCACGCACAGTTTCACTCCGAGAGGGAATTGGTCGCAATGACGTACGTAACGTGCATCTTCTATAAAAAGGCGTGTAGTGTATGCGATAGCTTCTTTTCTTTGAAAGTCTTGTGATTCTAGTATATTTTCATTATATAGCCGAGGTATGAGGTGGTTTTAGTGACATTTATTTGGGTTAAAGTACTACAAATATTTACTTGCCGCACATGACTTCTAGAAATGATACTCCAAGAAAAAGGAAATCGCTCCAACATTTTTTAAACTAAGTTCGCGCGTGGGAGTACTTGTTCTCTGCCTGCGCTTTTCCATGGTTCATGAATGTTAAGCCCCGCTGCCGCTTCTATAGAATGGTGTATGATAAGCCATATCAACGCAGTGACAGGAATTTCTACAGACTACCAAGCATTCTATCACCAGGCATTTTCAATCCGGCGTATTTTGATTAAAAGAAGCGACATATTTTTTTCAGAAAACCTGGTTTATGCACGGGGGCCCGGCACACAGATGCTGCATATTGCAACTGTTGGTCATCGCGAGCACGAAGACGGCAAGTAAAAGCCTCTATGCTATTGCCTGTACGTACAGTGTAACGAAACTCTCTAGTTTTGATGGTGTTGGGTTAAACTATGCACTTTGCCCATGCATTGATATTTTTCATCATGGTGTTCGTCTATTAACTGAGTGGGGCTATGTGAAGCACGCGGCAGTATAGCGCCGATCTGCTATTTGGTGCTGGTACAAAAAGAAAACTAGCTTGTATCTCTTCTTCAATGAGTCCTTCAATTAACCCTTTTCTAGAGGGCTGCATAGAAGACTATACGCCTGACACACTTGGAAAAGTAAAGCACATTATAAGAGACCACTTATGCTAATTGAAGGACTTGTAGACCATCACCATCTAGACTGTGGTGTTCTGCAGAAAGATGCTGAGCCAATGACGCACCACATAAGGTTCTAAATTTAACACTGATGTGTCCAGACATAAATATACTAACAGCGCATTTGCTAGCAGCCTGCCCTGTGTACCGACTGTAAGATTTTTCGAAAAAGCTTTTTTTTTGTTTTTAGTGAGTGAAATAAGTCTGAATTGGCGTTCTACTGATTCCAGTCCTCGCATGTGTTTATATGAAGGTGGTTCATTTATATGTTAAGCAATGCATCCTAGCATTAAGTGCAAGCTGAGCAGACGCGAGAAACATCTAGACAGCATATCCAGCTCTCTAAGTACTTATTCAAATTATTTCCGTGTAAGTATTAGCTCTTTAGTCAACGAGGAATTCGAATACATTTAGAGTGCACGACGTGGATATCTTGTGACACTGTGCAATGATACCGACGTGTCAAGCACTTCGTTAATTACACCCGAAGATTTATAAATTGATACAGCACAACGATCATGCGAAGAATCCGCGAAAATAGAAAAGTATGCTTCGCGGCGAATAAGTTGCAATTATAAACCAACACATGAATAATGGTTAATTAAACATGGTCTCTCAAATACTATTCAGTTAGTTCATAACTGTGACTTTTCTGTCATGGAACGTTTTTTTTTTAGGATTCTTTGCTTTTATCGCACAGGTTGGTATCACTTCCCGGTAAGCGGAGAGCTGCATCTGGGTAGGGTTCGCATTTATTGTTGAATAAAGCTTTAATAATGTGGCACTCGAAATGCCGAAAATCAAAATGACGAACTTCTGTAATGCCGAAATTTAGAACACCGAAAAATCAAAAAGCCGAATATACAAGATACCAAAAGTGTAAGATGTTAAAAAATCAATACACCAAACTATCTAAATGCCGAACTATCGAAATGTCTGCGTCACGTAGCTATACTGGAAGATGAAGCACCTAGCTAAATTGGAGGTTACGCCAGCACACTCGTTCACCCTCATTTCCAGTTGTCCCTTTACATTTATCTCAAGCCTTCATAGAAATAGCAAACTATAAACTTTTCCACCTCCAATCGCACATCAGAGTGATTTCTTGCTTATCGCAAACAGCTTGTGTGCAATTCGTTGTCGAAAACTTGAAACGTCGTCATTGTACGGGTCGCCCAGAGCAGCATCAATCGATTTTGCCTAACCCTTGTTTTTCGCTCTGAAAGCGGCGGGGTTGTCACTCCCTTAGCGATGCCTTCGAGTCTGGCTTGCTTCCTCTTCATGGTAGCAATAAGTCGAAAGTGCATGGCTGTCGTAGATCCCTTTCTTCGAGATTGCCATGCGAGTACCTTCTACAGGAAGGTCGGTAGTCACTCTGGCGTTGCAGTCTCTTCACTTCTCGCACCTACAATGGAGCCTAGAATACACCTTCTAGTGAAATACATGAACATAACCACAACTGCAACAAAGTATTGGCTTTCCTTTTTGGGAACACACCCCGCCACATCTTCGTCCATTTCCCTCCGAATCGGGGGTATTCGCGTGCATTGTTCAAGGGATTTTCTTCAATACATCTTTTCAGCATATTGATTTTCCAGCATTTGTTGTTTTGGGTGTTCCAATTTTACGGCATTTAAAATTTTCAGTTTTTTGACATTCGACCTTTTAATAAATCGGCATCTTGATTTTTGGCATTTTGTTGGGGACCGAAGCTAATACTCTCTAATAAATCACTTCAATTAGCCTGAACAAAGCTTAACCCTTTGTATCCCAGCGTCCACAGATGTGGACAAAACATATCAGTGAATTTTTGCTGTTGTAGCGAACGCCTCACCGCAAAATCGAGTTAAAATGTTCGCGCCAATCAGGCGTTTCATAAAAACACCGCCAGATGGCGGTAGCTGTCAAAAAACAGCAGCAAATGCACACAGGAACATGGCGTCCTCCTCTAGCCGCGCCGCAAGGTGGGTACCTCTACTTTTTTGGTATATTACCTCTAAATTCCTAAGAATTTGTGAAATATTTGGTAATAAACAGAAAACGGAAGCGTGTATCTTGTTTATGTCCAAGTTTTGTTGCAATACAAGCGGTAGATCTTTTGTAAAGCGAGTTGCCGTGGCGGCGTCCACGTGTGTGGACGCCAGGCCCAGGGAGTTGTGCGAAATGTTGATAGAACGCCGCACGGTACTGGAGGGCGCCTCGCTACATCGCGACTCTAACAAACTTTTATCTGTGATGGGGTGAACTACGGTATTTATAAGACTTAGACTTTATCTACTTTATTTCAGACGTGGGCTAAGCGATGAAGACATACAAGCTATCCTTTTCGAGTGGTGCACTGGAAGCGAGTGCTCTGATTTGGACAGCTCCGATGATGAACGCGTTGAAGCAGAGCCATCAAGCAAAGGCCCCATCGATGAGTACATAGAGGACTCATCGGACGATGAAGACTTAGAAGTGCAGCAATCGTCCACAGTAAAAAACAAGGTGAAGAAGATTTGGCATTGGGTGAAAAAAGACGTCCCTATCAACGAAGGCTTTCCCGAGAGTGAACTTGTGCCGCTGGTTACCCTGGAAGAGGCTAAAACACCCCTCCATATGTTCTCGAAGCTCGTAGACGATGGTTTAGTTGAGCACCTAACATTTGAGACCAATCGGTTCCGGGTTCAGAACAACAAAACGAAGGTGAAGCCTGTAAGAGTGGATGAAATCCGGAAATTTCTAGAAATAGTTCTGTACATGTGAGTTGTGTGCCTACCTTTCAGGCGGATGTATTGGTCGCGACTCCTGCGTCAAACCCACGTTGCAGAATGTATGTCTCACAACCGGTTTGATGAAATCATTTCTCTTTTCCACGCCGCAAACAACGACGACGAGAAGAAGAAAGGAGAGGATGGGTATGACCGCTTGTACAGAGTGCGCCCCGTTCTCACACGCCTAAACAGAAATTTCTTAGCTGCCGCAGAAATGGAGCCATGTTTGGCGGTGGACGAAATGATGATTCCTTTCAAAGGTAGGCACAGCCTGAAAGTCTACATGCAGAAAAAACCAAGAAAATGGGGCTACAAAGTATGGACGTTAGCTGGTAGGTCAGGTTACGTGTACCGGTTCGAGCTGTATGGTGACAACCTTGTCTCTGAGCTGGCGGACCTTCATCATGCAATTGGCGAAAGTGGGAAGATAGTGGTGCGTCTGACAGAAGTCTGCGAAGGAAAAGAAGTGTTCTGCGACAACTTCTTCGCGTCTTCTGAACTCCTTGCTGAAATGAAACAGCGTGATCTGGAATGCACTTCAACTCTCAGAAGCGGGAGGACTGGTCGTTGTCCCCTGCAAAATGAAAAGGAGCTCAAAACAAATGGGCGTGGCTCATTTGATTTCCGCCACGAAAAAGACAGTGGAATTGTGATCTGTCAGTGGTATGACAACCGAACTGTAACGATTGGATCAAACAAGCACAGTGTGAACCTTGTGGGGTCTTGTCGGAGGTATGACCGAAAGAAGAAATCCTTCGTTGATGTCCAAAGACCCAGCCTTGTGAAAGTCTACAACCAAAGTATGGGTGGTGTAGACAGGGCAGACCAGCTGCTTGCCTTCTACAGGAACGACCTGAAGACGAAAAAATGGTATAAGAGAATCATTTTTCACCTGCTCGACCTAGCCGTCGTAAACAGTTGGCTATTGTATCGTGCCACAAAGGGATTAGTGATGCAACTGGCTCACTTGCAAGCTGCAGATTGCATTGGGCTTGATTAAAGCTGCGCAGGCAGCGGAGGAAAGAGACGTCAGCTCCACCTCACTCTCCAATCGAGCCTCGGACATTCCTGGTGCAGTGCGGTACGACTGTGTAAATCACATACCTGTGAAAATCGCCCAACTGAACGCTCAACGCTGCAAAATGTCACAGTGCAAACGAAAAACCCGTATGCAGTGCAAGAAATGCAAAGTCTACCTGTGCATTGAGGTAGATGGGCCCACAAACTGCTTCGAGCAGTTTCATCTTGTGTAACTGGTGTTCCTACTGTCCACATATGTGGACACTCGTTTTCTTCTAGAAATAAAGCTAGGATTTTTGTTTTGCAGCTTATTTGCTCTTTTGTATATGCTACTAATAAATATATGTAAAAAAACGTCATTTGCACAACTGTATAGCTCATGGGAAACAAATATTGACCCGTGTCTACATGTGGACAAAAACGATGATGGGGGGATTAAGCGGACACCAGGCAGTGGGCCTCTGGCTTGACTGAAGAACGAAGGAGAAAATCTTGTGGCTCAGCTGTTGAAAACACGCTGCTTTCGCTGCCTCAAGGCGTACTTGTGCTTTGTTCGCGTTGTACTGCGACACTGGTGTAGGTGCTCGCCCGCGACCCCACCTGATGCTCCACACTCCCACGGGGAGCCGTTCATCCAGCCCAGAAGCACTTGTCGACACTGCCGTGCATCGCTTCAGTCATCGCTTGCGAGGCTTCCTTCCAGAGTTCACCCTCTCACAGGAACACTCTACAAGGCACCACTTACATCTACCAATGGCCATCACCAGTCCACAACAGTTACTACGAGACAGTAGTTTGCCAACCTCATCTCAGGTAACCCTTTTTTCACTGCTGGTGCCTGATCGCTTTGGTGGTGCAGCACATGAAGACGTCGAAAAATGGCTTGATCACTATGAACGTGTCGCTAACACCAACCAGTGGTCCCTTGAATAAAGGCTTTCCCGCGCCTATTTTTGTCTCGACGATAGCGCTAGAACTTGGTACGAGAACAGAGAAGGCAGTTTGTCAACATGGAGTGACTTTAAAAGAGGGATGGTTGACACATTTGCCGATGTCGACCGGCGCGAACGTGCGCAGCATTTACTCGAGCTACGGGTTCAGAAACCCAATGAAATGGTCGCAATGTTCGCTGAAAACATGGCCCGTCTCTTCCGTAAAGCTGACCCGCCCATAATAGACGACAAAAAGTTGGGCTACCTCATGCGCGGCGTTAAAGAGCAATTGTTCGCCGGACTTTTGTGGAACCCACCAAGCAGCGTGACAGACTTCATCAAAGAAGCTACGGCTATCCAACGGGCGCTTCACCTACGATGCCGACAATACGATCGCTTCCCAGCAGCGCCCACATGCAAGTCGCCGCTACGACATCTGACAATCAAAGCTCGTTGCGCGATTTAATAAGAGAGATTATTCGCGAAGAGCTGCTGAAGCTGCGGAATCTGGTCACGGAACTACCCACGGCGTCTGTCGCTGAAGTCGTCCGCGAAGAAATACGCCAAGCGTTTTCAACAGCTGATCCTACTGACGATCAGCGACCTATGAGCTACGCAGCCACGCTTCGCCGCCCACCGCCCGTTGTGCCGTCGTACCGCCAGCGATCGGCAGCTATTCCTTGGTCGCCACCGCAAGAACAGACACCGCGGCGCCCTGCCGTCGTGCCGCCGTACGAAATGTCGCCGAACCAAAAGCCGTCTGCCAACGAGACACGGCAGTGGCCACATTAGGAGCCGTTGCGGCGTCCACAGCTTCGTAAAACAGACGTGTGGCGCACTGTAGATAGGCGTTCGCTTTGTTTTACCTGCGGAGGTGTGGGCTAGATTTCCCGCCATTGCTGGCACCGCGTAGATATGTTTCGACCTCTTCGGCAATGGTCTGACGATCTACGCGCCAACGACGGCTACGCACCACGCCGGGACGCTCATTCTCAAGGACCCCCCTTGTTTCACTCCCATTTTGACAACTCCCGTGTCAATAATGACGACAGTGTGCCTGATTACCAGCCAGGTTTGGGACGTCGACCACACTCTCCGTCTCCGGCATATTCGCCTTCGTCGCGCCACCGAACTACAGCCGACGTCAGGGGAAGGAGGTCACCAAGTCTACGCCGGGGAAACTGAAGGCAGTGACCTCCGGGGGTGAGGTTGCAGGCCGTCAAGGCGACGAAAAAAAGCTCGTTACTTGTACCACAGGACGCCGTAAAGCCGAGAAGTTGTAACACAGACGAAACTGTGACCACAGATCTTACCGTTTCGGTAGACGGATAGCGAGTAGCAGCCTTAGTTGACACCGGCGCCGACTTTCCTATCATAAGTGAAAACCTTGCCGTACGCCTCAAAAAAGTGAAGACTACGAGGACGGGACCTCACCTGAGGACAACAGGTGGCCAGCTGTTGATGCCTGTCGGAAGGTGTACAGCAAGACTCGACATCGGTGGCTCTCCTTTCGTGGCGACGTTCGTCATCCTCACCTCATGTTGCAAGGACTTGATCATAGGGATGGACTTCTTAAGAGAATATGGTGCCGTCATCAACATCCCGGACCGTTCAATTACATTCCGCAACAGCCCTGGTTTAGTTGACTGTTCAGACGCAATGCGTAACACTTTACGTATAATTGATGATGATGTGGTCGTCCCGCCCCGGTCATGCACTCTTGTTTCGGTGGAAGGCCACGAAGCGTTTGATGGCGAAGGCATTGCTGACCAAATTTGCTCGCTGCTATTTAGTCATGGCATTTCTGTCGCACGAGGTATCGTCCGTCTCACTGGTGGACGCACGAATTCACTTCTGACCAACTTTAGAGCTGAGCGCCGGCACCTTCCGAAGGGCACTGCTATCGCTTCGTACGACAATATTGTAGAAATGCGAGGCAGTTTATGTTTGTCGGTATTGGACGAAGCACCTAATCAAGAACCAAAACCCGTTCTCGATGTTGGCACCACTCTGTCAAAGGACGAGCGACAGAGGCTTCTTCAGCTGCTAGTCGAATTCCGCGACTGCTTTTCAACGACATCACGAGTTTGTCGAACACCTTTGACAAAGCACCGAATAATCACCGAGGACACGGTGAGACCTATCCACCAGAACCCTTATCGTGTAGCTACAAAGGAACGCGAAGCCATACAACAACAAGTCGCGAAAATGCTTGCAGATGACGTCATTCAACCCTCACAGAGCCCCTGGGCATCGCCTGTAGTGCTAGTAAAGAAAAAGGACGGCACCCTGCGTTTTTGCGTGGACTACAGGAAGCTGAATCGGGTGATCAAGAAAGATGTGTACCCGCTCCCACGTATTGATGACTCCCTTTACAGACTTCGGCACGCTCGCTACTTTTCTCCCATGGACTTGAGGAGTGGATACTGGCAGATCGAGGTAGACCCAAGAGACCGAGAGAAAACCGCTTTTGTGACTCCAGATGGTTTATACGAATTTAAAGTCTTGCCTTTCGGTTTGTGTTCCGCGCCCGTGACTTTTCAAAAGCTTATGGACACGGTAGTTTGGGGATTGCTGTGGAAGACGTGCCTAGTCTATCTGCACGACGTTATAGTGTTTTCGACCACTTTTGACGAGCATCTGAAAAGGCTGGAAGTTGTTTTACGTGCCATACGGTTCGCAGGCCTAACATTCAGTTTAGTTTATTCAGTTATTCATTCGTTCAAAATACAAAATTTGTAGAATGTAGTATGCAGACGAGGGTCCCAAAGTCAAGCGACTGCAGTGGGACCCTCGGTTAACAATACCAATAAAATTAATAACTATAACAGCACGTAAAATACGCAACAAAAGTGAAAAGTAAACTGTGAATTTACATAAAATAACATCAAGTAAACAAAAAGGGCAGTCAGAATGCGACACAAGAACAATAGTAATAAGTTATACAAGTAAAACATAATCACGCCATGAAGCAATAACCTAAATTTGCAAAGGCTTACCAATTTCATGCCCGGATACATAGGAATCGTTAAGTAATCATCGTTGTCAACCTAGTTATGCAAGATGAAGTTTTTAAGTTCACGTTTGAATGCATGAAAAGATGATGATTTTAGTGTATAGGGCAGGTTATTCCACAATTTAATGACCGCGAAGGCGGACGTCATTTTGCCATATTTGGTGTTACATTTAGGTAAAAGGAAGTTGTGGTGTGGGCGAATCTAGTGTTATTGGTGTTAGTGAGTAAACTAGCATCGATAAAATCAAACACAAGCTGTTTGTTAAGTTGTTTATATAACAATATGATTAAGTGAAAATTAAATAAGCCAGACACAGTAAGAATACAGTTAGCCTGAAGGAGTGGGGTAGCATTAGAATAAAATGAACTGTTGGTAATAATGCGAATGGCCTGATTCTGAATGTGCTGTACAGACGAAATATGAGTGTTATATGTATTTCCCCAAGATGTGATGCCATAGGTGATGTGACTATGTATGAAGGCAAAGTATAAAGACAATAAGGCTTCAAGTGAAAAAAAGGACGAGATTTAATGAGTGATCTTGTACCAAATGCTGTTTTTTGTTTGACGTAAAGAATATGAATGGTCAACTTCAAATGAGGGTCTAATTTTACGCCCAGAAAACACACACAGTTAGACGCAGGAATGAAATGATTGTCAATGAACACTTGTGGAATGAAAGGTAGTATTTGTTGTGATATTTTAAAAACCGTGAACTGAGTTTTGAGCGGGTTTAAAATTAAGTTGTTTAAGCGACACCATTCAACAACATTAGTCAGTTCTTTGTTCAACATATTGATCAGAGTAGGTAATGATCTATGCGAGATGAAAAAGGTCGTATCATCAGCGTAAAGAATAACTTTAGAATCTTGGAGGCAGTCAGGCAAATCATTAATATAGTTACAAAACAGTAAGGGTCCAAGAATAGAACCCTGTGGGACTCCTTGATTAAATATTTTAACACCGGAATTAACGCCCCCAATGCAGATTGATTGTTCACGATCAAGAAGGTAGTTTTTTATGAATGTCAAG